TTAAGAACAACCATTGGATTAAGAAAGCAATGGGAGTATCATACTTCATAAAAATGTATTGTGTTGTAATGATTTTTAGAAAGTAGATTATCAATAGGATAACTGGACAAATAGTGCTAATGGATACCATATTTTAAATAATTTCAAAATAATATAGAAATATTCTGAGTCTACTTTTTAAAAAATACTCAGACTACTTGAAGGTTATCTGTATTAAATGTATGTTTGGCTTTAGTTTTAGTAGGTTTAAAATTTGTGTAATTTAACCCCACGTTGGGTGGAAAGCTTTCTGAAAATGCTCATCTATAAAGAATGTTTTTCTAGTTCTAAGGAGAAATTGCAGATGGAAGGAACATCACATGTTGTAGAGTTTATGACCTGCATCATTGATGCATTCTTGAGGAAAGAATCATCATCATGTGATTTTTTTTTTTTTGACTCTCAGAGAAATATATGCTAGTTTTGTAAAAGATGAGACATATAGTTAAGAGTGAAAAAGTAGAGGAGAAGATCACCCTATGTAATTCCATTGCCTGGAGACAAGAACTTTTTACAAGTTAACATTGCAGCACGCTTTCAAAATATTTCTACGTGGCATGATGCATCTATGAAGTTGAAAATTTAACTTGTCAACATTGCATAATTTTTTATCAATAATACTTACGAAATGTCTACTATATTCAGGGAATTGCATTCAGTTTCTTTAATCTCAAGTAATTTGATAAAAATTTTTAGCTATCACTATCTAAAAATATCCAATTATATAAAAATGATATCACAAAGTATATTTTCAAACTTTTACAATGATGTGCTGTTGCATCAGTTGTAATATAACAGACTGGCTCATGTTATTAAGTAACCTGCAAAATCCTATTTTTGACAGCTGTATTTGTCCTGCTAGTGATAAGGGAGCACAAATTCATTACCTATTTTTTCTAATTCTTGTTTTGCAAGTATTCAACACTCAGTATCAGAGACTGCAAAGATACAACAGAAATTAATCCGTCAAACCCAAATTTAGCAAAAACCATACAATTTGAAATGCGTATATTCCCTTGATTGTATTAAAATGTTTATCTTCATTTTTGTACAGAAGATTTTAAAAAAAGTAAACTTGATGTTGCCCTCTTTTTTTTTTTTGAAAATAATATTATTCTTTAATCTAGAGTAGAAAGACTTAAGTATTGAGAAGGCTAAATGGTTTTCCCTCAGTTACAAAGATTTTGAGACTTGTATTTCAGTGCATGTTGGCCTTCTTTTCTAGCCAATTAATCCAATTAGCTGACCAATAACTAGATTAAGCAGAAGGTAGATCACAAAATCATGACTGAGAGAGTGGGGGTCCTAGTCAATGCTGTGGGAAATTAAACCCTAGGGCAGCTGAAGAATTTGTTCAAAATCATACAACTTGTATGTGGAAGAGACCAGTCTCAACCAGTCTCTGATTTTAAGTGTTGGGTGATTTTCAATACTTTGCAGCTGAAATCAGGAAGGATTTTCCAGTTCACTCAAAATGATTGAACTGAGTGTCATGTGTGTATTTACAACTTGATTAGAGGCTTTAGATCTAGATAACTGGGTTTTAGAATTTTAGATTTCTACATTATTAGAGAATTTCTGATCCAATAGTTATTCTGCTGATGGATAAGTATTACTTAATTAAGTTACAAAGTTTAGGCTCAACAAAATATTTTTAGCATGCCCTAACATGCTAACCTCTAAAATCATGATCTTAGAGATAACATTATAGCAGTTTTTAGTTCTGTAAATTTTGTCAGAAATTTTGGCCAATAGCAGTGGAATTATAGCCTATAAATCTTGGGCAAGCTACATAAACTCCTTGTTTTCCTTATCTGGAAATTGGAGATGATCGTAGTAGCTACCTCATAGTGCAGTTTTAAGGATGGAATAAGTTAATATATACAAAGCAATTAGAATGTGTCCAATAAATATTTACTATTATTTTGTTATATTAACTTCTGATATAAATCCTCATTAACATTTTCTGAATGTAATTGAATATATAAGAGCAAAGTAATATGCAGATTGGCCATATATTTTTAGTTTTTTTAAAAACATTTTAAATTATAAAGATAACATAGTCCTATTACTGTTTTCCTTTTATGATGAAAATGTTTTTTAATCATAGCATTAGGTTTATAAAATGATCTCCATTGTTGTTTGCATCTCTTTTTTAAAATATTGTGATTTGCAGATTTTTACATAGCTGTAATAATAACAATTTTCTGTCCTGCAGAATTTTTTAAATGATCACTTAATGACTGAATACTATTTCATTTGTAACGGTGTTTTAAGATAGAATGGGACTGTTTTGGCCTCTGATTGGGATATAAAATCAAGTCACTGGACCACAAAGCAGAACAAAGAGGTAGAGGAAAGTGTTTTGCATTCTTAACTGAATAATTGAACATCCATTGCCCTCTCTTCCACACCCAAGTTTAGAAAAAGAGATTGAAGAGTTAAGAGAAATTTTTGGAGTTTATTCAAAGATATTTGGAGAGCACTGCTGGTGTGTTGTAAATTGGGAGGAACTGCAAGGTGCTTCCTCATTCTAACCAGTAGAGAGATTAATTCGTATTCTCTGCATTTGGGAACACACTAGCCTGGTGGGTCTAACTTACTCCTGAGATATCTACTGGTGTGCAGTGGGTTGGCCTGCTGCTTTGATGTTGGTGGGAAGGAGAGCTGGTTGCTTTGTCACTTATGCTTCTAGATTTTGATGGGTCAGAGAATGTGTAAGCATTTCCAGGGGACTAGAGTGGCCACATATAGGAATCAGGAGTTATTTTTCATCTTCTCTAAGATGGCTATTTGGGACATCAAAAAGAGCTCTGCAGAGGAGACTGAGGCTCAGGCAAGTGGCCAGCCAGAGGAGAGTGTAGCCGTGAGAGATTCTCCAACCATGGACTTAAGGATGTCTCTGGTGAGCCTGCAAACTATCCCATGAGCTTTATGTACCAGAGTTTTACGTGCCAGGTCCAGACAGCCTAGTGCCAATATCCGTCATGGAAGAACTTTCCTGTCCCTTTTCCTTTGCTTTTATTCCTCCCTTCTGTTTCAACTTGGAGTCAGGAATTATAGTTAGCAAACCGGTGGAGAGAACTATGCTTCTGAAAGCATAAAGGAGGAAATATAGAAAAGAAGTTGCACTCCACTCTGACACAGTTGGAAAAGGGAAATAGCTATAACTTCGAATAAAGTTAAGTTTTTGTTATACTGGACTAGACATATTTAGTGGAGGATTTTTTATTGTCTAAAAGTTATCAGAAATGCCATGAGATTTGCCCTAAATTTTATTTGGGGAAAACCAGTTCCCAGAATAAAATTAAATGGACATTTTATATTGTTTTAGGATTATATCTCATAAAATTTTGCTTGTTGTCTGTAATGATTATATATTCATATTTAATAATTTCCTTTTATACATTTAGGTTTGATATATTGAGGTATTATAAACAATGTCACACTAGACAGGTTTATATATATCTATTTCTATCATTATATTTTGGATTACTAGAGATTTATTTCCAGAAGGTGAACACACTTATATATAAATATTGAAAAGTTTCAAAAGGGTTTAAGTGCTTTCCACTACTACTGTGTTTGCATGAATGTTTCAGATACAAAGAAGTTTAAAATAACTGATTTGAAAACAATTTTTGATTTTATACATCAAATATTGATTATAAAAGAGGGAGGGGAAACACTTTCAACTGTACCTGAGCATATGCAAATTATTCTAAGAGTATCTGATTTATAGACTGTCAACTCTATAGGATTTACCCTGAATTATAAAACACCACTTTATGTGGCAGAAGCCTGCACAAAAATACTTCCATCAGTCGTTCATTTTGAAGTACATTAAATTTGGAGACGAAAACATTAAAAGTTTATCAATGATCCTAGAATAATTTGACTTTTATTAAGTATTTAAAAAGTAATAATACATTAGTTGTTCCCTTGTCTTAAATAAAACTTTGGAAAGTCTACCGTGAAATAATACTTTCTGAAATCTTAAAGTCTAAATAAATACTCTTCATTAAGGTGAAGAATTAGAAATAACTGATCATTATATTATCTCTGACAAAGCATGCCTTGACTTATAAGATTAGTTGAAAACTAAATTTAGTACATTTTGCAACAATGTCACAAAGTAACATGTAATAAAAGAACACTGTTGTCTATTTTATTGTTATCCACATATGATATTGGTATTTATAACAACCACAGATTTTAAAGTTGGAAAATTATAACAGGTGAAAATACTTTGGTTTACTGTAAAAAAAAATAGCAACATTACTTCAAATAAGATCACTTACATGTCTAATACTTGTTTGCTTTTTAATGTATCATAAAATCTCTAAAGGAGGTTATCATAAAGAAAGTAACATACCGATAATTCTTAACCAACATCTATGAAGAGACAGTTTAGGATATATTTTTCCCTTTCAAAAATGCTGAACATGGAGAAAAATCATTACATTATCCTAAACTATTGGGTAGGTATTATGAGAAAAGTTCTTGGAATAGCTAGGCTGGCCAAATCAGCAGACCTTGGATCCCACATCTAGAAGTGTTCTCACATCTGCAGTGATCTCTCTGGAATCTAAGACTACTTACTGCCTGGATAGTTTGTTCACTGATTCTTGAAACACTAGCTTGGTTCTATTTCACAGACAGCTTTGGGTGATAAACTCCAGCTGCCTTTTCATTTACTAAAATGGCCTTTCAAAATTGTGATAATCTCTATGACTGTGGACACCAATTCTGCTTTCAAATGACAAAGTTGAATTGATAGCCCAGAGTAGGAAGAATATCACCTGCAGGGTCACCTACAAAACTGAAATGATGCAATCTCTTTACCCACTGGAAAGGAGCATCCATCTAAAGAGTTATACGACTGACCGTTCCCATTTTTGTATCTCACCACTCTGTGAATTCAGTGGTGGGTCTCAGCAGACGTCACAAGAAGTTCCTACCTGGACCAAGCTATATCCTGTGCGCTGGACCAGTGCGCGAAGGGCTGCTTCCTTCTGGGTGCCGCTCAATCCATCCCCGGATTTGTGATTTGATTCCATTGAGAGTGATTATCAGCAAAAAATCAGGTTAATTAAGGTTGCTCACTGAAACCAAATTTAAGATAAATTAAGTAAATTGTTGTTGCCAAGTCTAAACTTGTCCTTTTCATGAAAGACAGCTTTAGGAAACATTCTCTATAAATGAGTCATTAAGATTAGAGCAATTAATAGCCGCACACAGACAAGGCCAGTTAAATGTCCTCATTAAAAAAGAGTTTTTATAGATGTTCAATTTCAGTTGAAATTTAAAAGAAAAAAATGATTAATATCCTTTCTCCGATTAGAATGCAGATCAGTGATTCTCCATCCAGTGATCTCAGAATGTCACCTGAGGCTCAAAAACAAGTTAGCCCTTGCCAACTGAAATAAGTTTAATAATAATAAAAGAATGTACAGAATGGTCCTCACAGATGTGGGAAGAGGGCACTGTTACTAAAACAAATCAAGTCGTGTAAAGTATCAAAATCCTGAGAGTTTCACTTATCTATTTTATGTGTTAACTAAGACATTTAACTACTTACTTTCCAAAGATAATTTATAAAACAGAGTGTCCTGGTGATATATACAGAGGCATCAAATAAACTACTTTATGTAATAAAAACGTCACTGAGGTTTTAACAAAACAAGAAGAGTAGATTCTTTTGAGTGGTGTTAGAAAGGCCTACTAAAACCTAAATCACATACCAGATAGACCACTCAGTAGAGGACATGAAGCCCTTGGTAAAAATCTAAGAAATTATGAAAGTTTACATATGTCCATGTTTATGTATGTAGATAAATATTGCAACTTTAGCATTTTCTGGTCTAGACTTTCTATTTGAGAACATGATTTGAACTCCATTCCCAATGTGATGGTTGATCAAATTTATGAATTTCCAGAGCAAAAGTATGGCCGTATTGAAGGTTTAGTTTATGCATTTGCCAACTGATGCTAATTAATTATTACTTTGCATTACTTTGCAAAATATACATTAGCCCTAATATTCTCTTTGAAAAAATGTTTACAATTGGTCTTAAGCTTATTTTGGTAGTGAATTAATGTGATAGCTCTTTATTTGTTCATGCATCATGAACCATAGCAAAATTAATAGAATATATGCATACATAAAATTCCAATATGTAGCCATAAAAACATCACACGAAGTTCCAATATGTGGCATCTTATTTTATAGAATATGTCAGCAAAAAAAGAAAAAGGAAATTAACCAGAATCCCTTCTTCGTTACTAAATCATTAGTAATGAATCATACATTAATTTGGTCCTGATCAATTTTGATCCTTTAAGGCCCAAAATAAAAGAAATTAAATTTCTTCATAGTAGATATATTTATTTTACTTTAGTAGCTTCCGCAATTTTAGAGAAGGACAGGCTTGGATTTAAATTTTAGTTCTGCCACCAGGATTCGAACTTTTGTGAGACCCTGTTTCCAGTTCTAAGAAAATAATAGGTGCACTGATATCTAACTTGAAGTTTTTTTGTTTGTTTTTGTATTTTAACAAAGGATTAAATCAATCAAATAATGGATATGAGGTCACCTAACATGGTGCTTGGCATACAGAAGTTGCTCAAGAAATATTCCCTTTTTGTTCCTTATCTGTTTCTTTGATTCATCTTAGCCATCATCTGGAGTTCTCTGGATAGTTATTCTTTCTAGCAATTGTCTGAAGTAAAGAGAAATGTAGTTTTGAATTCATTATCTTAACCTCTTTCATATGGCTTTAATAATTAGTTATTTCATTTGTTTGTTTATATTTTTTAACTGGAAAAATCCTTAAGGTCCCGAGTCTGTGTGTGTCTTTCATAGAGCATCTTAGTGCTGCGATGAAAGTTAGACACAATCTAAATTTTCAGTGATGAAGAAAGATTTAGATAAGCAGTAGTACAGTGCAGCTAATAGTGTTGACGTTATGGTAGAAAATGTAATGATTCAGGTATATATTTGTGAAATATAATCAAGTAGAAAAGGAAGGCTACGAAACAGAATGTATAGTCTGATTTTGTTTAATAAAGACTGATTGTGAAAGGCTAACTGGTTATACCTGGGTAGTAGATTAATAAATTATATTTATCATTCTTTTTTATTTGACTATTTTTAGCTTTTTATAACATACAGCTCTTACTCTAATAATTAAAAAATGAGTTACATTAATAAATGAACATCAACGAAAACAAATCATCTCAAAAACTATGAGATGTGGCTGAGAATCTATTCTGAGGAAACTGTTCAGCATTTATTAGAAAACAGAAAAATGCTGAAAATAATATAAGCATTCAACTCAAGGAGCTAGGAAAAAACCAAATAGACTAGAGAAATTTAAACAAATTAAAGTAACAAAACAGAAAAACCAATAGACTTGATAAATGTAAGAGCTGATTGAAAAGATTAGCAGCTTAGCACACTTCTGGCAATCTTGACAAGGTAAAAAGGAGGAAATCTATTTTAAAAACAAGGAAAAAAGAATATAAGGACAGGTCAAGAGACTTAAAAATATTTTTATCAATATTAAAGATTGTAGATGCAGTAGATAATTACCCCAAAAGCATGAATTCTTAAGATTACCTCCAGATGAGTTAAAAATTTGAATAAACTAGTAAAGTATATTGAAAAATTCAATGTTCTCCTCCCTAATAACACAAAGTCCAAATGGTTTTAATAAGCAAGTTATACAATTCACTTAAGAAATATAATCCTTTTGTTATATAAAGCCTTTGAAGTATAGAAAAAATAGAAAAATAAAACACTTATGAAATTATCTATAGACTTACCATATCTCTGATACAAAGCCAGACAAATTATCACAAAACAGAAAATTAGACCAATTTCACATTTAATATGGATATAAACTGCATATAGCAAAATATCAAAATACTAATATATAACAATCATGATGAGTTTATTACAGGAATAAGAAGATTGTTCAACATTAGTGAGTCCAGTAGTTTAACTACTTCATTTATAAAAAAAAGAAAAAAATATCATCTCAGTAAATGTAAAAGTGGTACTTAATAAACTTCAAAACACACTATTGGTTTAAAAAACAAACAAACAAATTCTTAGTAAGTTAGCAATAGGATAAAACATCCTTAAATTGATAAAGACCATCTATCAGAAACATGAGCCAAACATCATGTTCAATAGTGCAGCACTGCAATCATTCATTTTCATTATAAACAAATCAACTATACAAAACTATTAGAACTAATAAAAGAATACTACAAAAGGACAGTTATAAAATGAATGTAACAGAACAGTACATAACAGAAATGTAATGAGAACATCTGAGCAGTATAAACAAAACTTATAAAGTAAATAAGAATAAACTTAATACAAAATATCCAAAAGCTATATGAAGAAAATGTTAAAATTTTACTGAAGGATGTAAAAGCCTGCATAAATGGAAGTATTATCATAAAACTATCAGTTCTTCCAAAATTATTAATCTAATTCAATACCAGTTTAAATTTCAATAAAATTATTTTGAAATTTGAAAAGTTGATTCTAAAGTTAATCTGGGAGAAAAAAAATGTGCACTAAATGCCACATGTATTGAAAGTATAGAATTGTTTGGAACCAGCTTGATCAAAGTTAAAATTAAAACAGGCACAGGAGTAGGCAAGTAAATTAATGGAATGGAAAAAAAAGGTCTAGACCCATAGTTTTGTTTATACCAAAATTTGCCAGTAGGTGCTGTTTTGAGTTATAAGGAGATCATAGACAAGTTGATAAAAAAATAAAGTTGGTATACTATCTCACAACACATACTAAAATTCTAAGTGGATTACAGAAATAACCTTTAAAAATATTGTATAACTACTAGAAGAAAATATTGGAGAATATTTTTATAAACTTGTGATGCCAAAGGTCTTCCTAACCAAACATATCAAGAGCCACAAATAAAAAATAAAAAGACTAAAAGATTTGACTACATAAAAATTAAAACCATCTGTAATGACAAAATAAAGTTAAAAAGAAGCCACAGACTGGAAGAGAATAATTGCTATTTATACAGTATACAGAGAATTAATGTCTGTCATATATAAAGAAACAAATCAGCGGGCAGATGAGCAAAGTACATGAACAATCAATTCAGAGAAAAAAATAAAACTAGTTTATAAACTTATTTAACTATGGGCATTGTCTTTCATGATCAGAAAAAGCAAATGAAAACAAAAAACCTAGATAGCTTGGTTTTACTTATTTGGCAAAATTTGAAAAGGTTTCAAATAAGAAGGAAAATACGTATTACTAACATTTACTGAACAATTTCTATATGCTATGTTCTAAAAACTTTAAGTGTAATTCACTCAATTCTCATTAAAATTCATTGGGGCAGGATTTATCATTCCTGTGATATAGGTAATAAACCAAGCTGGAGAAGTTCACGAGCCCAGGGTTATTCAGATAGTAAGTGGCAGACCCATAGTTTGAATCTAGGTAGCTCAGGGCCAGACTCCATGCTTTTAATTACTAAATTTGACTTCTCAGTTTCCTTACTTTACAAAAATAGGCAAGTGGCAGGAGGGGGAGAAGAGAGATTTAATGTCTAACCAAGTTCCCTTGAACTGTTGCTGTGAGGAACATGTGACACCATGATGAAACTGATGAAGGTGATACTGTGAGTCTGCATTCTCTTCCATAGGAACTGTTGGTCTTGATCTTTTAAAGCACTCTGGTAATTTAGCCTCTTTGCTGGGATAAAAATGAACTAGTATAATAGCTCTTTTGAGTGGTAGGGTGGGTAGACAGTCTGATGGTTCACTTGGACATATTCAGGATCTGACGCCTTTTCGACACAGTCTAAAATCGACACATAGTCATTGCCAGCCTCGTTATGCACTTTGTCATACCTAACTGAAACATCACTCCTGGGCATGAGCGTAGAGTCTTCAAAGGTGACTGAGTGATGTATCACTTGGCAGGATCTGACTTGGATTTCATGTGAATTTCTATTAAAGTGTTTCCTTCTTCCCATTAATTGTTAGCTCTCTGGATTGTAGA